CTCAAAAAAAATCAAATATTTCTGCGGCTTTGAGCCCGATTGCATGGACTTTTGTTTCTGAAACCAATCAAAATCCTCTCTACTTCAGCAGTATGTCTTCCATTCCATCAAATTTTATCAATAAACAGCAAATTAAACCATAAAAATCATCCAATAGAACACCTCAAGTTGTTATATTAAACCAGTTGGTTAATTTTGCTTGCCCCATCGTGCTCCATGTCTAGACTAAATTTTACTGCTCACAGCTTATCTGAGGAAGCTGAGCTCAAACCTTTGATGTACACAGGTGAGCTTTGATGTCAGTGACATAGATCTATAAAAGAGACTGTGACAGGGAGAAACATTTATGTACACTATGGTTACAGTTGGTCAGTCTTACTTAGAGAAACATTTGGATTGATTTTAGCCTGTGTACTTTTTTTTTATTTAATTTAAAAATTGGAAAACTTGAAATGCTGTTTTTCATTTGATAAGTTCATTGTGTTGCATCATATTAGCTTCAACTCTTCCATATTTGATGCCACAATATTTGAGTGGCTTTAAGCTTAATGTCATTGTGTATTTTAAGATATTGGTCTTTCTGGTCTCTATGAAAGGTTTGAATTAATTGACCTACATATGGCCTAATTTATTTTTATTGAAAAAAAATGTTAATGCTAGTGTCTATGATGACTTTTGAATATCTCTTCTGATTCCCTTCATATCTTCAAAACTAATATTTAACTACATTATCAGTTTATGCTTCATGCATAATTTTTTTAATCCATTTCCCACTGAGGTAGTGATCTTACAGAAGAAAATACTATCACTGAATAAGACGAGGACCTGTACAACTAGTTAACACCTTGACGCTTATTCTCTTAATAGCAACACATGAGGGAAATACATGTAGTTTAATTTTTTATTTGTAATTTTTCAGTGTAGGCCTGATATTGGAGGGCCCTGTCATATTATTTATAATAGAGAAGAATTGGCACAAACTTAGTGAATATTTTGTAATAGTGGAATTAGCATGATAGTGTGGAGAGCCGACTTGTACTGACTCTTGTATCAGCATTACAACAACAATGGAAATTGTCAACCCAAAGATGCAACAAGCTATACTTAGTATTGTTGGATAATAGTAATTGTGCATGTTCAAATTAAGAGGGTGTAGAATGATAGTGATTGGAGGGAGGTAAGAGGGTGGTAGGAGAATGATAGTGATGGAGGGAGGTAGGGGTGGGTAGAATGGTAGTGATGGAGGAGGTAGAGGCAAGATAGTGATAGAAGGGTGGTAGGGGTGGTAGATAATAATGGAAGGGAGGTAGAATGATAGTGATGGAGGGAGGTAGAGGGTGGTAGAAGGTAATGATGAAGGAGGTGGGAGGTGCGTAGAATGTTATTGAGCGGAGGGAGGTAGATGGTGGTAGATTTATAGTGATGGAAGAGAGGTAGGGGTTGTAGAATGGTGGTGATGAAGGGAGGTAGAGGGGGGGGGGGGGGTGGGGGGGGGGGGGGGGGGGGGGGGGGGGGGGGGGGGGTATGGGGGGGTGGGGGGGGGGAAAAAGGGGGGGGGTGGTAGAATGATGGCGTTGGAGGGAGGATAGAGGGTAGTAGAATGATAGTGGTGGAGTGAGGTTAAGGCTGGTAGAAGGATAGTGATTGGAGGGAGGTAGGGGGTAGCGAGAGGTGGGATGTGCACTTCTGATTGGCACTTGACCTTCATGCCAGGAAAAGACTCTTGATCAGGGCATTTGAAGTTTATGGTAATTGAATTTATCTTGATGCATGCTATTTCTGCAGGCAACTGTAGGACCTTCAGAAATATAAATGTGTATTACCAGGTGAATGTGGATATGTGGTGCAACATTTGTCCACTCATCTTCCTGGATGCACATGTCATCATCTCACAAGATCATAAGAATGTAGGAGCACTGAAGCAGCTCTTTAATTATGATGTATACAGCTGTAGTACAATGGTGCTGGTGAACTTGCACCTCTACCTCTACCACCACTATACTACTGCCTCATCTTGTTCCACTTCTCCCAGCTTACCCCTCTTGTTTGTATACTGACTGGCTTACCTTCCTTCTTGTGTGTGACTGGTTAATGATTCAAGCCAGACTGAAACATTACAGTGGCCCCCCAGATTTCGTAGCCATCAGATTTCATAATATTTGGAAATAGTAACTTTTTTCGTCAAAATATGGCTCACTGATCATCATTGAGCCCTTGGTAGTCATTCGTCCCAAGTGTGTCCACGGGCCTCAACACCCAATTTACAGCCATTGATGAATTGTTTATCAGCCAGTGAGCACGTATCCCACTCCATTTTATACGATACATTTCTTATTATTTATTCTTTTTAGTGCTTGTAACTGACAAATAGCCACCATGGGCACAAAGAAAATTCTAGTCGCCAGCACTTTGTTATAAGAAGGTGAGAAACAATATAAAATTCAAAGAGACATCATTTGCAAATTTGATAGTGGAGTATTATGCAAAGCTGGCCCGGTTGTTAACAAACCCATACAACCATCACTTCTGTTGGGGCCAAGAAAAAGAAAATCAAGGAAGTGTTGTTGCGGAAGTGCAATATATGCTAACTAAACAGAGATCACAAAATGCTGGAAGATGTGGAGCCTTTGTGGTGGGTTGTGATGAACGGAAAACAATTATCGGGAAATACTGGTATGCAGTAATAGTCTTTGTGAGAAAGGCAAGGCAGTGCATGAGGATCTATAAAGAAAAATGCCAAAGAGAGGACCTACATCAGCAGGAGCAAAAGGCACTGCCAGGACAGACTAAGCATCTGAAAGACAGGCTAAACTCTCATGTTCTGCAGTAATGCTGTGGGGATTTGTCAAAATGAAACCTTTAACTGGTGTATCACTCGAAAATCCAAAGTGTGTTCAAAAAAAAGTGTGTCAAGAGTAAATTGTGTGTGATGTGGAAGGCAAAACAGAGGGAAGGAGTGGGTCGTGGAGTGGTACATTTTCCTTGATTGGTTCAATGAAGTGTTTGTCCTCAGGGGTAAATGAACATATCCGTTCCTGGAAAATAATTGGAAACTCGGCCTGCCGATCCTTGGTTAAAGTGCATCAGTGTCCTGTATCCTCCAGACTTGGAGAGCCATATGGTGAAGAGTTTTGTTTGATAGAAAGTGAAGTTCTTGCCCCCTAATACCGCTCCTTCGTTCCAGCCCATGGACCGATGAATCATTTCAAACTTCAGATAAAGCTATCAAGCTCAAAGCCAATGTTTCAAAAGGTGCGCTATGATTTGACTCTCAGACACAGCTTGCCCTAGAACGAGGTTTTGGGAGAGTAAAGCCTTTCAGGATCGATCCATAGCATAAGTCCCCTATAGGTAAGGCTTGGGATGGGACGCGCGCTCTCTTCCAGGGACTTTGCAGCTTGTCTATGCTTGGAAGAAACGCTGTGGCCAAGGACTCGTGTGTCCAAGAGAGGTGATTTTGAAGGGTTTGGCGCTGACCCGCGAGCGCGTATGGCTTAGATTCGTGATCGGAACAGTGCAGTGTGTGCATTAGGGACTTCCGCGGGTTGGAGCTGAGTATGGCCAGGATGGTGGATGACGACTTGATCATGGATGAGCTAACCATCTGAAGAGCGTGCTAGTGCCTGTCCATCTGCAACGAACCAACAGCACCAGTCGCAGTGTAGCTAGGAAATGCTTCGCCGGGAGGAAATGCTTCAAAGATTAAGGACATTTGTGCAAATATGGAGTGAGGTGCAAACATTTATGGATGAACATCCACCCTGACAGAAGTGTTGCAGGCCATGTTAGCAACTGTACAATGAACAACCGTGTGTCCCATTTTTAGGGAAATTTTATAGAAAGCAGATACAGACCTTCTGGAACACTTTTTTGAGCCGACAGGAGAGATCCGCGACTCGTCTCACAGCTGGGTGTGTGCCTATGTGAGCAGATTAAATATATTGTGAAAGCGTAGTGGCAGAAGATAAACCCTGCGATAAGGACCATGCTTAGGTACCCTTGAAGCCAGTCACTAGAGGCGGGTCGATTCCTCTTCAAACAATAGTACACCTCCATCCTCACCCCTCTCCCGTCTTCAGTACACCACTAAGAAGAATCTTCAGTAGGTAAGGTGTCATTTTATTATTAGGTTTTATTCTGCGTGTCTCATTATTTTTATGTAGGTAAATGTACTGATTTCATGTAAAAATAAAGTGAGTGTCGCCGCCCGCTGTGGTGTTCAATACTTTTGGGTGTCTGTGAGAACCGACTTAATTAATATTGTACATTTACTTATTTTCTGTTGTTTGGTTTTTGGAAAGTATGACTATGTGCGTGATAACCGTCTCAGTATTCGGGTCAGATATGGTACGCTTACTCGTTGGAATGGAATTGTTAGAATTTACGATAAAAACTTGGGGGTCCACATGTATAAGTGTCTTCTCTTGTATGCGCAAGTTGGTTTGTATATATCACATCCTAGGAGAGCTTACTAAGTGCTTCGTCAGAAATAAGCCACTCCTAGGCTTTCTTGGATTATCCTGGTTTATTAAATATCCAGGTTATAATTGAAGAAAATCTTGAAGTCAGCAACTGTTTGACCTAGCATCGTTGTGAGAATGGTAGCAAGATTTGGAAAATGCCAATATCCAACTATACATAGCATAATGAGGAAGGTTACTCATCTGGTACAGATATGGCCACAGAGAATTTAAACAATTGTGCCATTTTTGTCATTTTCAGATTGATGATTGAAACATTCATGCAATCATAAGAGTGACTTCCCTTTTCATATTTATGGTTTATGTTTAATATTGTATAAAAATATCAGTGAAAAAATGTACAGTAAAACCTGAGTGTTTCCAAGTGCTACCTGTCTTCCTCCGAAAGTGTGAGTAAACACATGAAACTGCCGAGGTTTTCCTGTTTGTTGTTTTTGCTGTGGCATTTTTATATTTGCAGTAATGCATTTTATTGTGATTTCTTATTTACAATACTGTATGTAATTTTTTTTTTTTCAGGATAAACTGCTTCCCAAGGAACCAGCATTTATATTTGTTTTGGAGATAAACCAGCTGATGATACAGAGAGGTGTTATACCCCTCTTGTGCCAGAGTATGAAAGATATATTGAAGAACCTTCCCCGGGATTGTATTAATGGCACCCTCAGTAGTGAATCTACCATGAAAGTTGGCTTCATTACCTATGAATCAAATGTCCACTTCTACAAACTCGACGGTCAATCTCCAGAAATGTGCGTAGTGTGTGATCGTGACGACTTGTTTGTTCCTGTGCCTGGAGGTGTTCTTTGTGATGCTAAGGATGCTGCTGACAATATTGACAAACTTATGGAATGCATTCCTGAAAACTTTAAAGACACTCGAGAAACCTCTGGTGCATTTGCCGGTGCAATTCGTGCAGGAATGGAAGCCCTCAGGGCTTCTGGCAGAGTGGGAAAATTGTTTGTATTTCATTCATCTTTACCGGTAGGCAGTGGAGCTAGTAGTTTAAAGATGCGAGAAGATAGAAAACTACTTGGAACTGAAAAAGAGAAGACTGTGTTAAATCCACAAACTACTTATTACAACAACCTTGGACAAGACCTCGTAGCAGCTGGCTGTTCTGTAGATTTGTATATTTTTAATGATAGTTATGTTGATTTGGCCACTATTGGACAAGTGGCAAGGCTAACAGGAGGCCAGTGCTATAAGTATACTTTCTTCCAGTCTAACAAAGATGGCCCAAGGTTTTTAAATGACCTCAAACTTAACATTGGGCGTAACATAGCCTTTGATGCTGTAATGCGAATAAGGACTTCACAAGGTGTCAGACCTGTGGAGTTCTATGGTCATTTCTTTATGTCCAATACAACTGATGTAGAACTAGCAAGCATAGACTCCAGTAAAGCCATTGCTATAGAAGTAAAACACGATGATAAGCTGACAGAAGAGGATGGTGTGTACATACAAGCTGCTCTCCTATATACATCTTGTAGCGGGCAGAGAAGACTTCGCATCATCAACATGGCTCTCACTGTGTGCATGCAGATGGCTGATCTGTTTAAGAATTGTGATCTTGATACACTGATGAATTTCTATAGCAAGCAATCCATAGTAAAATTATTAGACACAAATGCAAAACAGGTGAGTGCTTTTTCCTTTTGTTCTCCCATTGTAATATTTTGGTAGAGTTTAACCTGAGTGGTTGGAAATTGTAGTTTTAAAGAATTATTGTGATGCTGACCAAATTAGGCAATGTGTATATGAGAAGGCATGTGTGTATATATAGAAGTATCTAAAGATTATTTTCTGTTGTGCATGTTTTGATTGCCAAAATATTTTTAAATTTTCTTTACTCTTGATGTACTGATTGAAGTTTCTTCAGTCAGTACATACATTGTATAGAAATTAAGTACTTGTAGCAACAGGAGTATTGTTAAACTCGTTGTATCCCATCTTCCGTATTTAATCTATTGATAAATTAAAATTTCCTGTATTTATTGTAACTCTTGCCATTGTTTTATCATAATTTACAATAACACTAGTACGTACTTCATTCTTTTGGTAGAGTATGTACATGATCATCCTTGGTTTATAGGTATGGTCATTTGTTCTTGGTAGATACAAAGATAAGGACAAAATCAGTTAGTGGAAAAGTTAAAATACAATCATTTAGTACATGTTTAATGGAAATGTTTTGGTCCTGGGGTCTTGGTCACTTCAAAGAGGGACTTTGGAATACCAAGTCACTACTTGGTCACTTCGAGTAATATTGGTCCCAGGCCCTAAACATTTCCATGAAACATATTCTGAGTGATTACATTTTAACTGAAGGAAGAGATATATTGCAGCCTTTTGGAAACTATTTTAAATGTTTACTTGAGCTAGAAATGGGGAGGCAACACCCTTATAAATAGGCAGAAATAAGAGTGTGGCTGGAAGGATTGTGCTTGAAAAATTTGACAGCCTTAGCTTATATCTAGAATTTTCCTATAACTGTATATTGTAAGTTCTGTTAATATAGGTTTCCAAATAGATCATATATCAAGACTATTAATGGATGATAGTTACTGAAGAAAGCCGTAATGCCAGGCTTTGTGAAAAGTCTAAAAACTACTTTTATAATTGAACAGTAAATTTTCTGCTCTCCCATAGAAGGGTAGACTAACAAGCAAGGTTAATAAGTAAATAGAGAAATGTATTTTAGTAGAAAACTGATGTAACTCACACTAAGGATACAGTTGAAGTCACTAATTAAAGTAAAGGTACGAGATGCAGAAGTTTAATTTAATTCAACTTTAGTTTAATGACTTGTTTAGTTTAATGATAATCATAATCTTTATTTCTGTAAAGTTACATAATATAATCAATATAGGAATAGTTGATATTTTTAGTATACTTTATATAAAGCCCCTGAGTATGCACAACATTTTGGGCAATCTAAAAGGAACTTGTAACTACAGACATTTTTGAGATTAAGTTGGTCTACCTGAATGATAAAATTAACAATCTCTGATACTGACTTCAACAATCTGGATTATTTTTCATAACATAATTTGTGATAGGTAGCAAGGGGCTAGTAACCCCTTCTCTTGTATACATTACTAAATTTAAAAAGAGAAGCTTGAGTTTTTCTTTTTTAGGTCACCCTGCTTTGGTGGGATATGGCCTGGTCATTGAAAAAAAAATTTGTAATGTGTCCCAAGCAGTTCAGGCAACTAATCATAAGGCTTGCATGCTACTTCAGAATTAGACATGGCCTGTTATGTGGAACTTGTTATATAGTTAAGTACAATAAGGTAGCTAATGGTAAATGGTTAATTACAAAAGAATTGCATGTTGTTAAGTTTTGTGGAGTTATTGAAGATGAAGATAGAGCAAGTTACTTGACTACAGTACAAATAAAATGGGATATGATATGTTACAAATTATGTATAGGAGTTAAAGGAAGGCTAGAAGAAGAGGGACAGTATTGAAAAATGGCAGGTTTGATTGATAGTGTATTGTTGCCTACATTACACTAGGATGGGGTTTTTTAACCCTTTGACTGTTTTTGGTCGTATATATACGTCTTACGAGCCAGTGTGTTTGACGTATGTACAGGTACCATCCGACTTACGACCGAGTTCAGTTCTGACCAACCGAATGACTTTATTTTATTGTTTTTATTTTGGTATTTCATTTTTTACTTAGTTTTCATGCTGTAGTACTGTAAATTTTATACTGTAAGGTTTAGGATAAACACTGTGTACAACACAGTTGTTTATTTCCCAGAAATTTGGCATACAAAACATGGTCGTAAATCGAATGGTTGTATGTTGAGCAGGTCGTAAGTCTGACGGTAGGTGTATACTCAAAAATTCTAGCGGCTTCAAATCAAGCAGGAGAAAGCTGGTAGGCCCACATGTGAGAGAATGGGTCTGTGTGGTCAGTGTGCAGTGTCAGTGCATAACGAGACAAAAACAACTCCGTGTTTTTGGATTAAAATGCCGAGTTTGAGGTGCATTTTCATATAGTTTTTATGGTTATATTCTCGTTCTCGTAGTCACATTTGATAGAATGGAAAACATGTTATAGAAATGGTGGTGATATTGATTGGCTTTACTATGAAAAGGACCTTGAAATGGAGCTCAGAGTAGGGGAAATGTTTGATTTTTGCCGATATTCAAGAGTAAACAAATGACATCATTGTCCAATAAATGTCCAACTTGCCATTCTGATATGCAGTCATGAATGGGTTGACATTATTTATACAATTATTACAATATTGCAGTAGTCTGCATAACAGTAAATTTTTTGTTTGAATAAAAATTCAAAATAGAACTCGAGTAATATCAGAGGGGCCTGGAGACATGACTGAACTTGGAGACATGAACTTTTGGCGTCGTTACCATCGGGAAAAGATTCTCTATCATTTCATAAGAAAAAATAATTTTTTTTCTCTCAAATATTTTGCGACACCAGGAGACACCTCAGGATTTGGGGTTACGACAGTCAGAGGGTTAAAAATAGCTCTGAATCAGTTGGCATCCAATACACGTCAGCTGGTGGGTCTAATATACATTCACCAATGCACTGATATTATTTATACAATTATTACAATATTGCATAACAGTAAATCTTCTATTTTTTGGTGTGAAATGTTCTGTATGTAAATTAAAAATAAAAATGGAATTCGTGTAAAGCCTGGAAATATAACTACTAAAGAGAGGAAATGTAATTTTAGTGCCAGGAATGCCTGTATTGTTTATTCTGGACCTTATTTTGAAATTGGAATATTTTGAATTTTGTGTTAAATTGACCAAATTAATAATTTCTGATCACTCTATTGTGTAATTGAAATAATTAATTGGGCAGTTTATTGTGCTCAATTTGTAAAATAGAAGTAATAATGAATAGCTAAGAAATTTGGTCGCCTGGTATAATGTAATTGGCGTGAAATAGGAGTCATAGTGGGCAAAATCGCCAATGCATGAAGATCGTTGATGCAGTAAAATTTGCGTGTGTAATTTTGTTGGTTTTCCATCAAATTTCATACTTTTTGTTTTATTACCTTCAGAAAAAGATTCTCTACCATTTCTTAAGAAAAAATAAAAAAAAAATTTTAACCCTTAAACTGTCCAAACGTAGATCTACGTTTTTTCAACATTCGAAAGTATGTAAAAAAACGTAGACCTTCTTTTTTTTTTTTTTTTTTACATTTGAAAATGTGTAAAAAAACTTTGATCTTGAAAAAAAAAAAAAATTGAAAATATGTAAAAAAAAGTAGATCTACTTTTGGAGCACTACACATGTGAACGTAGATCTGTTTTGACAGTTTAAGGGTTAAATTCTTGGACCCTGTGGACAAGGCTTTGGTTTATGACTTGGACCCTCAAAGGGTCAATTAAACCCATACCTCTCCCCAACAACCTAGCATTCACAGCTTTTACAACCCCATCTATATATGTTAAACAACCATGGTGACATTATGCATCTTTGTCTAAGGCCTTCTTTTATTGGAAAATAATTTCTTTCTCCCTTTCATACCCTAACCTAAGCCTCACTATCCTCATAAAAACTCATAACTGCTTTCAGTGACCTACTAGATATTCCATAGACTTGCAACATCTGCCACATTGCTCTCCATATCCAGCCTGTTGTATGCCTTTTCTAAATACATAAATTCAACAAAAACTTCCTTACCTTTACCTAAATATTTTTCACATGTATGCTTCGGTGCAAACACTGGTCTACACATCTGCTACTCTTCCTGAAGCCTCCTTGTTCGTTTGTGATCCTGCTCTGTTTGTTCATTCTTGTGGTTCACAAATTATATGCAGGCTGAATGCAAGGTTTATCTGGTTTAGTTAAGACTATATATTGGGTTTTGGCCAGTTTTTGAGAGCCTAGGATTTAAGAGAGGGGTTTTCCAGGTCTTTTTCATATCCCCTTTTATTTCAGTAAACCTGCTTGCATAAAATAGTTGTTTAGATTTCTGTATTAGATTGGTAAGTACTGACATATATTCTTTGGTCTGTTCCTTAGTTATTAAGCCCAATCTGAACTGTTGTTCATAGTTTTTTTTTTTTTATCAGTGAACCTGAGGATGCTATATATTAGCTATGGACTATTTAGTCTCTTGCTGTGATCTGTTCAGTTTTACTTGCTCAGTGTCAAGGCTCTTGTTTTTTGTAGGAAAGTTCTGACCCATTCATCACTTTCCCTGATTGTTGGTAAACTGTACCAGTCAGTGTCACTTAAACCCGTTAACTGTCCAAACATAGATCTATGTTCTCTTGCCCAGTGCTCCGAATATTTTGAATTTTTTTTAATTAAAGAGGGAAATTTTCTGTGTAATAAGACCAAAAAGAAAAATTTTAGGAATAGTACTTACCGAGATGGAACACTATGAAGTTGGCGCTGGATGCTCACATGACGGCAACATGGAGTCCTGCCACTTGCAGAAGTGTTGCGGGATATACCTTTTTTTCTCATTTTTATATTTTATACAATTTTTATGTTCTGATAATTACAATTTATAGCAGTTCTTGAGATTTCGTAGCCAATCTTTATTCTGACACTTAATATTAGGTACTGAAATTGTACTCAAATAGTCACAAACACACTGACATGTGAACATTTACACCTGCCTTGGTCATTTACTATTGTTTATGAATATATACAAAGTATTTATAGGTCCCAGCAATGTTTAGATATGCTGGAGTATATATGAAACTCCTAAACTGCTCTCACTAAACTGCTGACAGTGCAGCAGTGGAGTGACACTTGATGATCATGCACTGCTGCATGCAACCCTGGCTTTATTTGTTTTCACTGTTACAAACATTTTCTCTGTCTAGCTGTGTCTATTTATGTCTTTGTCTGCTGTGTGTGTGTGTGTGTGTGTGTGTGTGTGTGTCTGCCTGCCTGCCTGTGTGTGTCTTTCTTTCTGTCTGCTTGTCTCTCTTGTCTCAGAGTGGCTCACGAACCAATAGGATATAGGGTTCGTCATGTCTGTTTCCTGATCAGGTGAAAATGCATATTACTTGCCTGTTGTGCTTACTATGCATTATATATACAAGAACAGTACAGGTCTCCCTCAACATTCGTGAGGGTTAGGGGATCAAGAGCCTCGCGAATGTTGAAAAATCGCGAATATTTGGTGCCCCAATATATTGTAGGGAAATATAATACAAGGCAATTAATTGTTTCCTTTTTGTTTACCGTCAGATTTCCTCGAGTTTTGGTGCACAAGACAAAGTATTTTCTCTAGTTACTGTAAATATTTATCAATATGATACCTCAGACAACAACTGAGAAAAGACTGAGAAAGGACTGATTTACTGAAAATGCCCTTTGGCAGGAAGGTAGTCCTATATGGGATGACGTAAGGTTGTTTGGACACTTGGTGCCCAGAGAACAATGCTTATATGAATTTCTCATGATTTAGTTTCCTCTAAATATCTTATCTTTTTTTCACAAAAAAATAAAGTTTGTTAGTTCTTGGAATGTTGTAAAAACTCTGCCCTTTACTCCCACATAACTCCCAAAATATTTGGAATATTTCCAAAAATGTATCATCAGAAATTAGAGAAATCATTATTTTACAATTTCTGTGAATATTATTCCACTTAATTAAGTAATAAAGGCATACCTTATTGATATAAGTGAATAAGTTACTTCCAAGATATTGACCTGGAACGCCTGCCAACCCCGTCTCAAAAAAAAAAAAATTCACGAAAATCGCGTTTGTTTGGGTGGTTTTCTTAGTAAACTGATATTCTAGCGCAGTTATCCTCTTCAAAACATCATTTTCTATCACAAGACCAAAGAATACAACATGGAGACGAGCAGTAACTCGTTTATAATTGAAATATTGCTGGTGGACTCTCGCTATGTTACGGCTTATTTTATTCAGTCTAGAGTATATAACATGTTTGTATGTTATTTATAGTGTTTATTATATATTAGATCAATTCTGATAGATAAATAAGCCGTAGAGTTGATATATAAGTGTAATAATGAAGTGATTTCTCCTGGCTCTCTCTGGAGCGGGAATACTGCCGGTGTTTCCCAGATGGTTCCTGATTGGCTGGAAGTCTACGGATAAGCTCCGCCTACTCTATATATGATGCCAGATAGTCAATTATTATATTAGAGTAATGCAAGTAAAAGCAATAAAAAACAAGGAAAAAATTCCAAAAATATATGGCCTGTGAGCAGACGCGCTACCCACATCACCGTCACCATACCTGATATAAATGGCTATAATTTCTTGTAGAAACATCATAGAACATTGATTCTTGTACTATTGTGTTGCCAAAGAGTTAAGCTATTTTTCTATATGAATAAATCAATTTCCATAATTTTTAGATTTTTTTTTTTTGAGAGCGCTGGGAAAATTGCCTTGTTGACCCCTTGAACTTGTTGAACCACGGACAATCATAAAATACATGAAAACATTTTAAATTGTACTAAATACATACTGTTAGGTTTAATAACATGTATGTTTCAAATACCACTGCCTCAAACCACTGCGAGTCCCTACTACCCTCCCCTTTCCCACCCCTACAAACTGGGAGCCAGCCCTCCCACCACTGTGTGGGAGTTTTTGTAGGCATTGGAGCTAGTAGTTTAAAGATGCGAGAAGATATGAAAACTACTTGGAACTGAAAAGAGAAGACTGTGTTAAATCCACAAACTACTTATTACAACAACTTGAACAAGACCTCGTAGCAGCTGGGCTGTTCTGAAGATTTTTATATTTTTTAATGATAGTTATGGTTGATTTAGGCCACTATTGGACAAGTGGCAAGGCAAACAGGAGGCCCAGTGCTATAAGTATACTTTCTACGACAGTCTAACAAAGAGTGGCCCAAGTTTTTAAATGACCTCAAACATAACATTGGGCGTAACATAGCCTTTGATGCTGTAATTCAATAAGGACTTCAACAGTGTCAGACCTGTGGAGTTCTATGGTCATTTCTTTAGTCCAATACAACTGATGTAGAACTATCAAGCATAGACCCCTCCAGTAAAGCCATTGCTATAGAAGTAAAACACATGATAAGCTGACAGAAGAGGATGGTGTGTACATACACGCTGCTCTCCTATATACATCTTGTAGCGGGCAGAGAGACTTCGCATCAATCAACATGGCTCCACTGTGTGCATGCAGATGGCGGATTCTGTTTAAAATTGTGATCTTGAATCACTGATAATTTCTATAGCAGCAATCCATAAGTAAAAAATTATTAGACACAAATGCAAACAAGTGAGTGTCTTTTTCCTTTTGTTACCTCCCCATTGTAATATTTTGGTAGTTTAAACCTGAGTAGTTGGAAATTTAGTTTTAAAGAATTATTTGTGATGCTGGACCAAATTAGGCATGGTATAATGAGAAAGGCATGTGTGTATATATAGGGAAGTTATCTAACGATTATTTCTGTTGTGCATGTTTTAAAAATGCCAAATAATTTTTAATTTTCTTTACTCTGATGTACTGATTGAAGTTTTCCTTCAGTCAGTACATACATTGTATAGAAATAAGTACTTTAGGCTACAGGAGTATGTTAAACTCGTTGTATCCCAACTTTCCGTATTTAATCTATTGATAAATTAAAATTTCCTGTATTTATGTAACCTCTTTGCCATTGTTTTTAATTCAATAATTTACAATAACACTAGTACGTACTTCATTCTTTTGTAGAGAATGTACAGATTCATCCTTGGTTTATAGGTATGGTCATTTGTTCTTGGTAGATACAAAAGAAACAGGACACAATCAGTTAGTGGAAAAGTTAAAATACAATCATTTAAGTACATGTTTAATGGAAAATGTTTTGGTCCTGGGGTCTTGGTCACTTCAAAGAGGGACTCTGGAATACCAAGTCACTACTTGGCCACTTCGAGTAATATTGGACCCAGGCCCAAAACATTTCCCACGACACATATTCTGAGTGATTAACATATTAACTGAAGGAAGATATATATTGCAGCCTTTGGAAACTATTTTAAATGTTTACTTGATGCTAGAAATGGGTAGGCAACACCCTTATAAATAGGCGAAATAAGAGTGTGGCTGGAAGGATTGTGCTTGAAAAATTTGACAGCCTAGCTTATATCTAAATTTTCCCTATAATTGTATATTGTAAGTTCTGTTAATATATGGTTTCCAAATAGATCATATACAAAGACTAATTAATGGATATAGTTACTGAAGAAAGCCGTAATGCCAGCTTTGTGGAAAAGTCTAAAAACTACTATTATAATTGAACAGTAAATTTTCTGCTCTCCCAGAGAAGGGTAGACTAACAAGCAAGGTTAATAAGTGAATAGAGAAATGTATATTAGTAGAAAACGATGTAACTCACACTAAGGGATTACAGTTGAAGTCACTAATTAAAGTAAAAGTTACGAGATGCAAGAAGTTTAATTTAATTCAACCGTAGTTTAAATGACTTGTTAGTTTAATGATAACATAATCTATATTTCTGTAAAGTTACATAATATAATCAATATAGGAATAGTTGCTATTTTTAGATACTTTATATAAAGCCCCTGAGAATGGCACACATTTTGGCAATCTAAAAGGATCTTGTACACTACAGACATTTTGAGATTAATTGGTCTACCTGAATGATAAAAATTAACATCACTGATACTGACTTCAACAATCTGGATTATTTTTCATAACAAAATTTTGTGATAGGTAGCCAAGGGGCTGTAACCCCTTCTCTTGTATACATTACTAAATATAAAAAGAGAACTTGAGTTTTTCTTTTTTAGGTTCACCCTGCTTTGGTGGATAGGCCTGTCATTGAAAAAAAAATTTGTAATGTGTCCCAATCAGTTCAGGCAACTATCATAAGGCTTGCATCTACTTCAGAATTAGACATGGCCTGTTATGTGGAACTTGTTTATATAGTTAAGTACAATAAGGTAGCTAATGGTTAAATGGTTAATTACAAAAGAATGCATGTTGTTAAGTTTTGTGGAGGTTTTGAAGATGAAACTAGAGCAAGTACTTGACTACAGTACAAATAAAATGGGATACGAATATGTTACAAATTATGTATAGGAGTTAAAGGAGGCTGAAAAAGAGGGACAGTATTGAATAATAGGCAGGTTATGATTGATAGTGGTATTGTTTTGCCTACATTACACTAGGATGGCTGTTTTTTAAACCCTTTGATACTGTTTTTGGGTCCGTATATATACGTCTTACGAGCCAGTGGTGTTGAAGTATGTACAGGTACCATTCCGACTTACGACCGAGTCAGTTCTGACCAACCGAATGACTTTATATTATATTGTTTTTTTATTTTGGTATTTCATTTTTACTTAGTTATCATGCTGTTTAGTACTGTAATTGTAGACTGTAAGGTTAGGATTAAACCACTGTGTACAACACTGTTGCTTTATTTCCCCAGAATTTTGCAGTCAACAACATGGTCGTAAATCGGAATGTTGTATGTTGAAACAGGTCGTAAGTCTGACGGTAGGTGTATCCTCAAAAATTTTCTAGCGGCTATCCAAATCAAGGCAGGAGAAAGCTGGTAGGCCACCATGCGAGAGAATGGTCCTGTGTGGTCAGTGTGCAGTATCAGTGGCATAACGAGACAAAAAGCAACTACCGGGTTTTTTTGGATTAAAATGCCGAGTTTGAGGTGCATTTTCATATAGTTTTTATGGTTATATTCTCGTTCTCGTAGTCACATTTGATAGAAGGAAAACATGTTATAAAATGGTGGTGATATTAGATAGCTTTACAATAAAAGGACCTTGAACGGAGCTCAGAGTAGGGGGAAATGTTTGAAATTTGTTCCGATATTCAAGAGTAAACAAATGACATCATTGTCTCAATAAATGTACAACTTTTCCATTCTGATATGCAGTCATGAATGGGTACATTATTTATACAATTATTACAATATTGCAGTAGTCTGCATATTAGTAAATTTATTTGTTTGAATAAAAATTCAAAATAGAACTCGAGTAATATCAAGGGGCCTGGAAACAACTGATGAACGAGACAATGTATTTAACATTACAGCACCAGGAATGTCTGCAATTGTTCATTTCTGGACCCTATTTGAAAATTTGCATATTTTTTAATTTGCATGAAATGGCCAAATTGCATTTTCATGACCACTTTACTGGGCAGTTGAAATCGGTAAATGTGCAGTTTCTTGTACTTAATTGATAAAACGAATGGAGTGCTAAAGAAATAGCTGAGTTTGGTCAACTGGAACAATGGAATTAACCCAAAATAGGGCCCAAAGTGAGTGATATCGCCGATTCATAAATATCGCCGAGGTTGCTAACTTCGC